AATAATTGGATTGCATTTAGGAACGGGGAAGTATGAAAAGTGAACTAACATTTGTGGCAATGTTAAAAAATGGGAAGGCAAGCATTGGGTGTTGATCAACAAGGTAAGTGTTAGAGCGCTGTATCTGGGTTGTGTATATGAGTGGAAGCGTAATGACAGCTGAGAAGTCCGAGTCAGACAACATTGTCCCTGTCTGCTTGCTGTAGTTGCTAGTTTACCTCAATAAACAAGTCAGCATTTGTATGCTACTTATCTCTGTTTACTCAGAAGTGAAAAGCTGGGCTATCACTGATGTCTCTAGTATGCATTGCGCTAAGCAGATGCACACCACGTGAATTTGGGTTTGTTTTGACACTCACATGTCAGGTTTCAATTGGGACTGAAGTTTCAAATCAAATTCCTAATTGGTATGATACAGAAGGCAAAATGGAATGTGTAGCAGAGGTAGGACTTTGGAGATTAAGGGAATTCTTTTGTTTGGGTGATTTGCTATTTACACAGGTTGTGGTGAAATGTACGCTGGTTTTAGTGTACTGTGATTGATAACATCAGGGATCAGGGAAGTCATGTACATGATTTTAGTCAGGAGCAACAAGCAACCTGTCTGCCTCGTCAAGGGGCCAGCCAGTTATCACGTAGATCACCCAAGGGAAGAAGCTTTATTTGTTCAGCATCTCGTATTGAGAGTAAACTCGTAAAACACACATCACAAGAAGGGGACATAGATGTCCATGGTTTAGTTTTAGTTAAAATATAAAGCACTACATGGTAAAACTACTTTCAGAGACAGTTCATGAATGAGGAATTTCTGAAGTAATGTTTTAAGTCAATTAATTACATTCAAGTTTATATGCATATTTGATAAATGTCAAATTCCGATATAGCCACAGCAGTTTTATAAAATTCCTAAACACAGCATGCACATATTTCATAAGCAAATTCTGTTGTGCTGTTGTTTCATATTCCTTCAAACCGATATGTGTATTTGTTGCTTGAAAGTTTGAATATATCCAAATGATGGTCAACCATCCAAAGATAATTTCAAAAGACACTTGAATGAGGAACCAGACGTAATATAACAGTCCTTCAACCAACAGTCCAACAAAAAAGCTTCAAAGGGGAACACCGGTCGTGTAATTTTTCCTGTCCAATTTTGTCGAACATCGCCCCATGTTTGCAGCCAGTAATCCCACCAGCCAAAGGTGGGCCGCCAGTCACTGGCATGGTTGCCGTTACAAGCCTGGTGACAATCGAGCATTGTGTTTTGACAGTGTTGTCACATGTAAACTGTCGCCCAACTGATCGCCAAGTTGCATGGTGGTGCAATATTATCAGACTTGTGTGTTTTCGGAATGTCAACCCCCATCCCAGATGGTTCAGGTCAAAAGAAATCCGTTCTCAATGTTGATGTTTGAAGGGGCCCAGGTTTGCTTGCAGTGCTATCATTTTCTCATGCTTGAAATATTTTAAATATTTTGTATACGCCTGTAGCTAACTTTTTTGGCTGTAAATGTATTAATGTTTGGTATTATTTTATGTTAAGGGATATGTTTTCCACATGTGAAATCTATTTTTATACATACGACTGTATATTTCTTTCACCCTCAATGTTGTTGCGTTGTGTTTTTATGACTGACAGTTTAAAGATTGGGAAACATTGCCAAACATTTGGTTGTCGGAAAAAATAACAAACAGAGGACCAGAAACTGAAAGCTTTTTAAACACATTGAAGTGGGGTAAGAAAAACGTCTTGGTGAGATGTGGGCACAGCATTCATTCAAGCAAGAATCGAGACGACTTGACGGATTGTTAGGGATATTATTCATGGTTATAAATTTGTTTTTGACGTTTATGGTATTAAACTATTTCACACTTTTGATTAATGTTGTTGACATTAGAAGGATGATTTATTAAGTTGCCTATTTCTTAGGCTGCCCGTGGATCAATGTTTTAGTTGTTATAGCAAAGGCTATACTTTGTTCCTATGTATATCAGGTTTTCATATATACAGGGCTCAATCTAGAAATTTTCTGACATGGGTCTTTTATCAGAAAATTTTAAATTTTTCCAGAGGTACACCCACCCTTTGCCATATATAGCACAATGTTAGATTGCCCCATAGTCTTTGAAAATGTGGCCTTTTTTCAAATTTAGGGGTTTAATGCTGGCTCAGCAGTATTCCAGCTGTATGACGGCAGTCTGTTAATAATCGAGTCTGGACCAGACATTCCTATGATTAACATCATGAGCATCCATCTACACAATTGGGATACGATGACATGTATCAACCAAGTCAGCAAGCCTGACCACCCGATCCCATTAGTCGTATTATGAAGTTAGTAGGGAGCACTAAGGTGAGGGGAATAAGCTTTCAATATATATTGATTTCATGGTGAATATTGGATGAATACACAGATGACTATGTGAAAGTGTTTGGTGAATTATGGGGAAATATATGAATATATGAAAATATTCACCAGTGTGATGGAAGTTACATGAAATACATCTGACAGACGTGCTTACTGTATACCAAGCCACACTTAGCTGTTGAGGCAAACAAGGAGATCACTCGCTGTGTTAACAGTTTTGTATACAGGAATCATTGTTAGTATTCAGGGTTTTAGATTGGGTCATTTTCAAGGATGGGCTAATTGTTATTCAAAATGTCAACAACAAAAATTAAAAATTCAGATTTGGTTAGTTATTGAATTGTGAGTGAGTATGGTTTTATGATGCTTTTAGCAATATTCCAGCAATATCATGGCGGGGGAGACCAGAAAGTTGCTTCACACATTGTACCCGTGTCGGGAATCGATGTAGAATAGACTTCACTCACTCCCTGATGATACATTGGCCATAGTGTTATTGGTTTGTTTGTTAATTGTTTAATGATGCACTCAGCAATATTCCAGCCATTTGCTGACGGTCTGTAAATAATCGAGTGCAGACCAGGCAATCTAGTGATTGATATCATAAGCATTGATCCACGCCATTGGGATACGATGACATGTATTCACCAAGTCAACAATTCACCAAGTCAACAATTCTGACCATTCGATCCCGTTTGTCACCTTTAACAACAAGCATGGATTGCTGAAGACCACTTCTACCCGTCTTTACGGGCCCAATCGTGTTGTACTTTCATTTAGCCACTTGTGATGAAAACACTATGAAAAGTTTGTTCAACAAAACAAGTTTCCATTTATTATTGATACATTGTTCCCATGATTCTTTGATGTCAATCTTTACGGCTATTGATTCTGATTTTAGCATAATTTTTCATATTTCTTTCATGCAAATAAAAAGTATGGACGTGATGGAATTTGATTATTTAGCAGAATATTTTTAGTTAGCACTTGAAGTAGATATTCATTAATATCAGCGACACATTTAGAATGTTCAGGAAATATTTTAGGAGGAATGTCATGACACTTTGTCTGAAAAGTAGTTGGTTCTTTGTAGAATGTGGTAATCAAAATAAGAACTTGAAATGGGAAATTGCTTCCCACTCAGCCGATTTTGAAAGAGATATTATAACTGTTTGTAATTGGGACCGTTATTAGCAAGAAGTTGTTAAATTGATTATTGTAGTGCTAATAGATGACCTATCACTCAGTGTGGAGGTGTCGGGTTAATGATAGGTATTTTGTTGTTTTTTCTGTCAACTGATATTTTTTAAGAATGTGTCTCTTTTATGACAGGAAAGTCCTTTGTTGAAATTATTTTAACAGTTTCATCCTTTGATTTTACCTGTGAAGATCCGGGGTAGAATAGGTCTTCAGCAACCCATGCTTGCAGTAAAAGGCGACTATGCTTGTCATAAGAGGTGACTAATGGGATCGAGTGGTCAAGCTTGCTGACTTGGTTGATGATGCATGTCATCGTATCCCAATTGCGTGGATCGATGCTCATGATGTCAATCACTGGATTGTCAGACTTGATTATTACAGACCGCCGTCATATAGCTGGAATATTGCTGAGTGCGGTGTTAAACAACAAAGGCTAGCTGTTCTGAACTGCCAAAGAAAGGTCACTTCATGAAAATAATTCATGAAAGTCCCCCGTTGTTATATCAATGCATTTTGGGGAGGTATCCCATTTTTGACGTTAGTCTGTATCCAAATTTAATGTCACTTCCAAAAAGTGACTCAAATTTGGATATAGTGGGTCGCAAAAACCCAGCTTAACAAACATCCATGGTACAAACTTCCAAATGCTTTCCATGAAAATGAAAATTCACTTGCTTTTCCTTGTGCCTTTTCTGATAAACGTCACCCCAAAATGTGGACCCAAGATTCTTTTATCGATACTAGTGCCATGCCAAGACTTACAAAGAATCAGGGAAACCAGGCTTTATGACGACTGCATGCTGGCCAGACTGCATGAATGATTGCCAATGCTACAAGTGTAGATGTGAAGCATCTACAAACTACAGCACCGATACCAGATCAGCATGCAGTCATCATAAAGCCTGGTTCTTTCTTTTGGGGTTCAGTATATATTGCCTATGTGTTGACAGAAAGTGTGGTTAGTTTTCTTTAACATGACATGATGTAATATAACTGAAATACTGTTCAAGCAGTGTTACATACAACCTCTGTCATCTAGTGGTAGAGCGTCTGCCAGGGGTTCGATCCCAGGGTGCGTCATACCAACATAAGTTAAAAGATGGTACTTGTTGTTACCCTGCTGGTGCTCGATTAAGGGGCTAAAACAAGGACTGGTCGGCTCGGAGTCAGTATATTGTATCTGAGTGGGGTATTCATGTTAAGCTGCTGCATGGTATCTCATGGGGAAGCACTATAAAATAGGAATTAGTCTGGACTAGTACAAGCAGCCACACACACACGTGCACGTCGCTATTATAAGTGAATTATTTTGGGCTTGATGGGCACAATGGTATACCCGATTTCACCTAACCGAGGCAGTGTTAAACCAAACAGTGTATTTTCAAGATATGTGTTGAGACCCAGCTGGCTGACTGTATGTTTTTGTTCCAGGTTTAGGTCTGCGCTGCTACTGTAACCAATGTCCACAAATGAGTGACTTGCCAAGCAACTCGTGCATGGCCCGACCCAACAGCAAGTGTTTCACAGCAGTCACCATTAACTATCTGGAGGATGAGACCACCGAGTCTTGGGACTACGGCTGTCTAGGGGATGATGAGAGCACCCTGTTGCAGGTACGTGAAGTTGGAGCTCTTCTCTGGGTGGGTGGAGGTGCAGAGTGGGGAATGGGTTGATGAGTAGGAGTCAGGGGGCAGGCTACCATCCTCCCTGGGGGGGGTAGAGGTGTGGGCATGGGTGGTTGAGTAGGAGTCAGGGGTCAGGCTACCATCCTCCCTGGGGGGTGGAGGTGTGGGCATGGGTGGTTGAGTAGGAGTCAGGGGTCAGGCTACCATCCTCCCTGGTTGGGTGGAGGTATGGGCATGGGTGGTTGAGTAGGAGTCAGGGGTCAGGCTTCCATCCTCCCTGGGGGGTAGAGGTGTGGCCATGGGTGGTTGAGTAGGAGTCAGGGGTCAGGCTACCATCCTCCCTGGGTGGGTGGAGATGGCATGGGTGGTTGAGTAGGAGTCAGGGGTCAGGGGTCAGGCTACCACCCTCCCTGTGTGGGTAGAGGTGTAGAGTGGGCGTTGATCGCTGAGAAGGAGTCAGGGGTCAGGCTAGTATCCTCCCTGGGTGGGTGGAGGTGCAGAGTGGGGCATGGGTGGCCAAGCAAATTTGGGGTAAGACATAGGTTATGTAAGGGTTTGTCTCGACCAAGGATTGTGAATGTCATACCTTGAAATTGTACAGGATATGTCAGACCAAGGCTTAAACCATACATAGGTATGTGAAGATCCAAAATGTGCCATTAAAAACTCTGTATTCTATACCGTTGGAAACCTTACATAGGCAACTATGACAAGACCTTTGCAACAAATGACAATCCCCATAGATCAATATGTTGCAGCAGTCTAAGCCTGAGGATGTGTTGTCTGAAAACCAATATGCCTATCCACCTCAACACTATGCGTTCCTGTGAACCACTACTGGTGATCCCTATATGAATCGGCTGTCCAGCCAGTGATGGCCCATTAATCGGTGTATGAGACACCAGTATTACCAGCAACAATAACCTAGATTACTCTCAGTAATAATCAACTTGCCAGAAGCACATCTGCTAGTAAATGTTGTGCCCTCAGCTTTGATATTAAGTGAATGAAAGTCACATGTAAGAAAAAGGGAGGGATTAGAAGTGTTAATTGTGACAGTAATATGGCGAGCAATTGAGCTGGGGAGTCTGCCTCAGGGAGGGTCAACTCTTGTGACAGATCATTACAGATAATGTATGCCGTTATTACTCTCATTAACTCGGCATCAAAGATACCGTATTCAGAGCTGGTTTTTGGCGATGTTCTTTTGTGAATGATCAAATGATTATTTTGTGGCTGTATCAGACATTGTCAAGTACTAGATCTCTTGCTTTTGGACTAGGCTCCTTGTTCAGCAATTTTAGTTTAGGATTGGACAAGTTGATGTTCTTCATGGTGGTAGATGCTTTTCTGGAATGAAATAAGGGTCCTGGTCGATTAATCTGAGAATCTTAATGAGGTTTTATGACAAAGACAGTAACAGGTAACCAGATCTATCACTGATTGTTTGAATAGCATTTCAAATTTGTTGTGTTTTGGACGCCTCAGGAGTACTCCATGTCTAACTTGTATAAGGAATTAATATATGGAATATGATATAGTAATTTCTTTTTCAACTGAAGTGAATATTCAGTGTCTGATCTCACACCTTTATGGCTCCATTATGGAGAATATTGTTTATGGTTGCATGATAGCATCCTTGTTGGGGGTGTCTGAACTAAAATCTGTAAATCGGAATCAAGATGCAGTAAATTCTCCAAAACAAGAGTCGTGATAAGTCAGCTGATCAGAATCAGGATATCAGGTTGATTAAACAACCCCTTGAAATTCCAAAGCAGAATAGAGCCCTAATCTGTTTCACAGTCCCTGAACCATATTGCTTGCCCTTCTGCCAAGCCTTAATGCTATAGCCCGAAATGAAGCAAGTCTAGAGTTCTCACAGGTTCATTTGGGCTTCTTTTCACTTTTAATTTAGTTGCATATTTCATTAAAAATAATATATTTTCAGAGACTAAGCTTATATGGTCACAATTCCCTGACATTGTTGTTAGGTAATCATGCTGTTAACCACTGAACTTTTATGGTCAATTCGTATTATTCCAGCACAAGCCGAATAGCGACTTGTGGCTGTTTTCAGACTGGGTTCCGACTAAGCATAACGGGCGTAGCTAAACGAATTGTCAAATCGTTGCATAATGATTCACATAGCTTTCCCCCATATATCATATTCCAAATGCTTTTTAAAACACATCGGGACCGATGGTGTTATACAATATGACTGAATACATTTAACAGCATCTTGGGTATATTTTTAGATGCAAGACATATGTAAAACGAAACTTTATTCCTGAGGGATTCTTTGAGCGAAGTACCTGAAGTTATACGCGCATTCTGATTGGTTTGTCATATTTAAACACATAACATTCATCGGTAGGGGACGAGTCTTCTTACAGGCTACGGAAAAGGGCAGGTGGTGAGGAATGAACCACTGAATTGCCTGGCTCAGACTATTCAGAGGTTGTGATGTAGCTGGAATATTGCTGATTTGCCACAAACAGCAGCATTCATTCATTCACTGTGAAGAGGATAGACACGAAACAGAAAATCCCTTCATGGTTCTCAACCCCCCTCTTATGTTATCTGTGTATATATATATTTCACATTCCTGTTTCATGCCCTTATGAAATTCCAAACAATCATCCCGCTTAAAGATGTTTCCCCTTGAACGAGTAAACATCCTAAAGCCCTAATATTTTCTATAGAATCTAAATTCATTATCCAAGTGTCTGCCTCTCGTTAGGAACAAATTATAAGGAAACAATGCAGTCTTTATCTCCTGGAAGCATCAGGCCAACAGCATAACCAAGGTTGAAGAAGCTTGTATAGGAAAACAAAAGCACCACCCCTCTTGTGTTCAAAACAGGTGGAGCATGTTGTTTTGAGGATCACATTACAGGTCCTTTGGGCCCCACATAAAATGCTTGAGAGCACGCACCTATAGGCAGATGTTACCAAAGATAGGAGACAGGAGAGGAGGGCTTTCTTCACCCCCTAGATCCTCTTACAGTGGTGTGTTGATTTTACCTCACATCTGCTTGTAAGGTTTCATGGCGTGCCTGATGCAATGGCCGGCTTCGTGAGATACTGTTTTGCTAGTTCCTAACTAAGATTTTCTTTGTATTATCTGCACCGTTTGCGAGGACGGATTTGGATGTTTTCAAATACTTGACGATGTTTCAGTCAAAGGTTTAGGGGAGTTGGAAATCTGGATGTCACAAAGAGAGATAACTCTGAAACCTGATTAGGGTATCATTGTGTGAGTGTTTGGGTTATGTCCCTTTATATGACTTTAATGAGAAGATTAGGAATATCACGTTTTCAAAGAAACTGTAATTGGTTTTCTTTTTTTATAAGTTTCGCGGTGCATGGGAAAACATGTATTTTTTGCCATATTTTTTTAATCACTGTCGACATGGTAAATTAGATGACTTATAAATCCTCAACCTATAAGCACATAGTCATGCTTTTAGTTCCCCATTCACCACTCTACAAAGGGGTAAATCATGCTGTGGTATTTATCACCTGGTATGTCCTGATAAGACAGGTCTCTTGTCATGCTTGTAGTCGTACTTGTAGGGAGGGACATGTGAAGTATCAGATACAAGTAGCATGGCTAAAACACCGGGGCAAGACTCCTAGACTGATATGTCAATGGCTGATACAGTGTGAAGGCACGGTTACAAAGTACATGCTCATTGAAGTATTGTTGATGGCTGCACTGAAATCTCAAAATATTTCTACCAGGGTGTGGTAATAAGGTGGGGTCATGGTGGGTCACTCTTACAAGATTAACATCGGCAGAAGGACAATTTTCTGAATATGAAAACCTCCCCAATTAATTTACCTGTTCCATTTTTGATAAAGCATGTTTTTATTTTATCCTTTGACATCATAACACAGCATTGTAGATTGAGACTTGCCAACTATGCTGAAAAATTGATTTGGCCGATTTCTGACTAATAATATTCTCAAAATGTTTGAAATGACATGCATTCATGGCAATCCTTTTTGCTGAATACATGAAATATTGTCATTGACAGAATATGAACATTATAAGTGCAGGGTTTCAGATCGGTTCATTTTGTAGGAGATTGTCATTCAAATATTTTCTTAAGATTTTTTTCAAATTTTGTAATGATCTAGAAGAAAAGTCCTATCAGAAAGTGATGAAATCATGAAAATATCCTAATGCCCATGAATATCCCTTGTACCAAGAAAAATTTGTGAAGTGCACTCAAGTGCACTTGAGTCCCAACTATTAACTGTTACTGTCATGATGGACCTCCACATCAAAGAGCCTGTTGGCATAGTAAACAATGCTAGTGACATTAAACCATGGCTACCAAGTGCCTTTTGGCATGTTTGGCACAATACTTGTTAAACCTAATCTAGGACCACTGAAGCATTCAGTTTGGATAGAAAACATTTCAGTGAAAAACAAGTAAAATATTGACAAAATATGTGAAAGAAAAATATGAGCTGCAAATTATGAAAGAAGCCATTGGACTGGAAATTTCAACATGGAGTAAAATCGATCTTTTATTGATATGCATCTCTTGCTAATTAAGACTGTATTGTATGGTTTTGTAAGAAAGTGTTTTCTTCTGTGAATGGTGCTGCTGTCCGTCTGATACACATTGAATGTAAGTGATGCCAGTGTAATTTCTCCCCATGCTGTGAGCACAGGCTTAAAACATGTTACAACACTTTGATGAGCAGTTAATGATGGCTGGTTCCAGTAATCAGAAGGCAGGCATGAGATGGTGGGGATTCTGAGATGGTATTGATGACTTCACAGTCTGCAGGGTCTACCGACACACAGGAAACAGAATACCATTCTTCGGGGTGGGAAAGTTTAACATGTCAGCACCAACGTGTCAGTCATTCATTTTGGGGTTGTACTTTATGAGAATTTCCTTGTTACAGTGAAATGTATGTTCTCAGTGTCGGTGTTAAACTGATGTGAAGACATTCCAGTCTTAAGTTTG